TGCAGAGGAAAGGTGCTTTCTCCCAATCACTTCCCCATGACCCAGCCCCTTAGCTTCAGCCAGCGCTCACGGATTTAGGGCAGTGCTCCTCATCTATGTCAATGGGGCAACAAGCCCATCACAGCCTTGGCCACAGCCACCTCCCCAGGCAGGGTGTACCACACTCAGGGCTGTGAGGCATCAAGTTCTCTGCAAAAGCAAGCACTGTGTTTTGGAGAGTGACAAGGGCCCCATTTTTAATTCATGGCTGATGGCACTTACCTGGGAGAGTTACACAGGATGTTAGCAGTGGGATAACAGAAAGACACCACCGCTTATTTGTCGACTATTCCAAATCCCACCTACACATCATTAGTAGAATTTCATGTCATAAACACTTTATCTCAAACTCTTTGGGAGACAGATGATACGTATAAACACCAGGAAGGGGGAAAAACAAAAAAAAAAAAAGAAAATCAACAAAAATACCCCAACACTTACTTGAAAATCTGACTGCAGCCGTTTGACTGGTGACAGCCCCTAGGGAGCTGTGAGACACGCAGGAGTAGTTACCCTCAGCGCCAGCCCTTTCAGGATATTTACTGTCCTTTGCCACAGCCTGTGATGAGATGAAGAGTGATCCATTCGGAAGCACGTGGAGATGTTCCTGCTCCACTAATGGAAACCCATTCTTCTTCCACGTGATATTGATCACTTGCTCAACAGGGGCCAGGTTACAGTCCAAAACCACGACTTGGTTTGGCTCCAGTATCACTTTTGCAGGACCAGCACTACAGCTCAGCTCCAGAGAATCCCCTTCCAACAGCCTCCCTGCAAAGAAAAGACAGCGTTGCAGTGGGGGTTGCTTTCCTTGGTTAATCACGTCCTAGGTCTACACAGCAAAGGAAGTATGGTTCTCCCACGAGCATGGCTGGAGATAACAGGTGAAATTCAGCCCTGTTAGGTGACCAGCATCTCCTATTGCACTTGTGCACTACATTCTCCATCCAACATCCTTGGGGCTGCAAGCAAAACCTGCACCATCTCCGCCACCCCCAACAGCGCCTAGCAGCCACCCCTTCTATCCACAGTTGCTTTTTCCAGGCCAGATTAAAGCAGAGAAGAACAACTGGAAGAAGGTGAAGCGACAGCAGTGGCAGCAACAGGCACTTAAGATGCAGCAAGGGCCCCAACTTCTCCTTCACCCACCACAGCTGCCCACAAGAAGCGAGGGCTCCTGCTCACCTGCCTGCATACCAGAGCCTACCAGCCAGTAAGCACAGCATGGCAGGGGCACAAGCAGCCACAAAGCCAGGCTGAGGCCCCAAGATCTAGTCAGCAAAGCAGACAGAGGAGATGTAGGATGGGTTACAACACCCTCAGGAGGTACTGGCAGTAAGCGCTGGAGCCCAGCTGAGAACCCAGAAAGGCAGTGCCTGCTGCTGACGTTCATGTAGCAGGAGACTCATTTCAAAGGAAAGCCAACAAAAGAATGGCTAAAAACGTGACCTGCTGTCTCTGAACGTTTCACCCCATATAGCCGAATCCAGAATGAGAACGAATGGATGCATTTTCCCCACTAGAAGAGAAAGGATATTCCAGCTGCACATAGACGGTCGCATGATGTCTTACCCAGAACATGCCCTTAGGCAACCTGCCTGCTGCAGCCAGAGGCCAGAGCAGTGACCAGCAGCGAGCTAAGCTGAACAGGTCACGGTCTGGCCTATTTCCAAACCCACATACTCGTAGGAGAGCTCCACCTCTGAAACAAGGCTCAGCATTTCCTCAAAGAATATTGCCATTAATAAAATGCATTTGCCGTTAGAGTTCTCCAGAGACACTAAGTCAATGTTAGCTGGCAGCGCTGCTTCCACACACCAGCAATTTCAATCTCTGCTGTGCTCAAACCATCACCATCCACTCTTTTTATGGCTCCGCTCCAAATTATTTTGTCACTGCTCCAATCAGAAATGTTTCCTGCCTCTATAACAAGTTTATCAACACTGGATATGAACCACATGGCTCCCTGCCCGTCTCCTATCGCAGAAGGCTACAGATTAATTTTATAGGAATTCAAACACCCTATTAAACCTGCTACTACCTACTGCTGATAAAAGGGCTGCATTTTAAAAGAGTGTGTGTTAAGCATGCAATTAGGGGCAATGACACGCAAAATTACACATGCAGGGAGATGGAATTATTTCAAGGCGTGTGCCGGAAACTGCAGGTGCCCCTGAAAGGAAGGGCCTAACCCTGCCCACGTGTGGGGCTGATTCGGTGCCCACCCACGCCCGCGGGGATGGGAACTTGTCAGGTTTGCTGTCACTGCCGGTTTGCAGAACCACCACAGAAAAGGCGATGTTGGCCACCTATGTCCCTTCAGGGACGAGAAGGTTACACAAGAATCCTACCCGTCTGCTGCCTGTTGACTGCCATCGTTACGGGACGGAACAGACCCTGCCCCAAGCACCATCATCTTCACTAGGACATCCAGGGGATGCCCAGCCCCCAGAGCCAAACCCTGGCAGGATGCAGAAATGCCCCTTTCACACCATGCTATGCAGCCAGTGCAACAGCCAGGCACAACAAAGGGGCAGCTACCGCCAACACGGAGCTGCCGGCAAGTCCTGGGTTTAGGGTTTTCCCCACGGATGCTTTCACTGTGCTGCTAACTCACACTCTGCGGGAAGAAGGCACAGCAAGAAGCAGCAGATATCATCAAGCTCCCAACATGCACACACCGCTGTGGAATTTCTGGATTTGTCAGCCAGCAGAGCCCTGGCAGGTTCCTTGCTGCCTGGCCCCCTCAGGCCAGGGAACAAGCTGAGGAATGCCACTATGCAGGGACTGTCACCACATGCCCTCCTGTAAGGGCAATTGTGCCCATTCATTTCTCCTAACTTAGTCCTTCGAGGATCACAGCAAGCTACAAAACTCACTCACTAGAAGTAGGGGAACGTGAAGCTGAAAGGCTGCCCCAAATGCTCCGGAAAGACACTGCCACTAGAAGCCTTCCACCTGAGACAGCCGGTACAAAAAAAAAAGTATGAAATAGGGAGAAACAAAAGCACAGAGCAAGTTACCAGCAAACATACGTGCAGAAGGTGACACAGCCAAACACAGCAGAGGGTTAACAGTCTGAGGCTGGGGAAAACTCAGCTGAGCCAAGGACAGGAGGCACACTGGAGCTGAGCTGCTACACAGCACCTCCAGGGAGGTAGGGCTGCTAAGGCAAAGGCTGAGGCATGTGATGCAAAGCTTATGTCAAAAGATGTTGAAACTTTGTTGGCTAAAGTCTTAATCCTTTGCCATTCCTTCAACTTGTTGTCTTTAGAAGCACAAGTAGAAACTGAGGAGACAAGGAATTAAGGCAGGTCAGAAGTCAGACCCCTTAACCAACAGCTCCAGCTTCCTCTTTGCATCTTTCCCCTCGACGACTCCTTTACACGTCACTGCCAGCAGCAACACATAAACATGCCTCGGGCAGCTCTTGTGCAGCACCAGCATCATGGACACCAATGCTGCCTGTGCCTACTCTTACCCTCCTACAACACCGACCCTCCTGTAACGCAGCAGGGCTGGGTGGGCTCAGCCACGTGGAATCAGCTGGCTCTGCATGCCGGGCATCCCACGTGCCCCCTGCCACCGCACACACGGGCTGTCCTCCTGACTCCAGGTTCTCCCCGGGCTCCTGCTCCGTGCCAGACATGTCTGTTCATCACTGAGGGAAACAGCCCGTGTATCTGTCCTATTTTCTTCAGACAGCAATTAAAATGGCATTTTGCTGAAAATACTCCTCCTCTTCAAAAGGTGAAACACGAGGGGACAGCTGGCTGGCTCAGGCAGCCAGGAATAGAGCAGAGATCTGCAGTGCAGCTTCCCACGCCAACACCAGGTCAGTAAGAAGCGATTATCAGCCTCTCAAACTTCAATCCCTTAAAAATCAACTCAACCTGCTTGCAGCAGAGTAAAAACAGACAGCTCCATACTCTGCACCACAGCAGAAGTAGTATTTGCTTTATAAAAACATGTGATGATGTTTCTATACCCCTAAATATTGCCCAGCTCTCGCCCCCAAAGTCAAAACCTACCTGGATCCAAGCTTCTGGTTGGTACATTCAAGAAAAAAGGGCCAGTTAAAAAACTTGGCACCAGACTGCAGAGCTCACCCACGCCAAGCCTGACAGCCTGGTTCAGGTCTCTCTCTGCTATACAATGAGAGGAGAAACCATTGGAAGGAAACGCATTTGAAACCAGACTTCACAGGCGACTGTTCCACCACAGCCCAGGAGCATGCTCACCAAGGATCATCCTAACACCAGGAGCACAGGATCCTCCTCCACGAGCAACCAGAGTGGTCTGTTTCTATCATCAAAGTTTGGTGCACTTGCCGAGCTGGTCATGACGATACCCTCTCACGGGATGTTGACAGGAGGAGGTTGCCTTCTTTCATACCTTCACACCAATAAACACATGATTGCACAAGATCTTTAAAAAAGCAATAGTCACTCCTTTCCTGGAAACCTGTTCCAACCACATAATCCACCCAGTAACAGCAGAAATCATTTACAAGCAACCAACCTCCAGGGTATCAGTATGTTTCTACTTGCAAGTATCTACTGTGAGCCAAGCAATGCCGGCTCCAGGCGACAGTGAGCGCTCATGACTGTACTCAAACCACCACCATTTATTTCAGGAGCACCAAAAATGTTTCTAGACCAAAAAGCCAAGTAAAAGCCCAGACGTACTCATAACCCTCAGGGCTCAAACTGAGCACCTGGTAGAAGACCATGACAAGGCCAAATGCCTGTGACAACTCATCACTATCTGTCACTTAATGCAGCCCAAGGAGGCTTCCAGCCAGGCAAATGAAGCCCTCAACTGCTCCTTTGGCCCCAAAATACTGCAGATTTTTGGGAGACAGGCCCTTTGCACATACAGAGGTTGGAGCAGCAGGGCCCAGGACCTTCACTTGGCATTACAAAAAGCCCCACTATGACTCTTGTCCCAAGATGTTCAAAGAACTGTATAAATGCTCCCTGATAAAGGAAAAAATACCTTCCAGGCTCTGGAAACGTAGGAGGAGGTCTGGTTCAAAACACCACACTAAATTAGCAAGCCTGACAATGAGATAAAAGCCCCTTCAAGGGAAAGGATCAGAAGAGAGTAAAATTACTCCAAGTGAGATCAAAGACAAATGAAATCAGGAATGTTAAGTGCTTACAGAAGCTGCCGACTATTTCCAACCTCCATTCTTCATTGCCTAGTGACAGAAATTGATACGACCCCTGTTTGAACACACAGCCACGCGCTCGCGCAGCCTCCTGCTCACCTTCACCCTCTTCCCTGCCGGAGGTCATGCTGTAATGAACGTAGGGAAGACTATCCGGAACAGCCACCTGCCTTGCACAGCAAACAGCTACCCCAAGAGATGTCGATAACAACATGGAGGTGGGCTTCCAAGTCAGAAGCCAGGAGGTCTTTCCACACACCAGTTCAAGGCAGCTGTTTCACCTACAGATCTGTGCTTTGGAGATGGGAGAGTTTTTTGCCTTTGGCTCCTCCTGGATATAGCTTCAAGCGTCAAAGCCCAGCAGAGCTTGAAGTTTTCAGCTCATAGACTTCTAAATTCAGGCCAGGGAACCCTGTAGAGCATTGCCCTACAGTGGGCAACATCACACATACATTCAGAGCAGGCTCTTGCACCACAGCACACAAAACCACCTGTCTACCAATGGCCCAGAAACAACCCAACGCAACTGAGAACACCTCAAAATACTTCTTTGAGGGAAAAGGAGCCAAAAGCAGAGTGGTGGGTTGCGAGGAGAGAGGAACAGTGCAGCCTGTGCCCATCCAGTCCTAGGTAACCAGCAGAGTCCATACTAAACTTCACTAAGCCCAGCAAACTGCTGAGCTATTCCAAGGCGGACAGTAGCAGCTTTGAGATTATAAATGTATGTGCAAATACACGCTTACATGTAGATATATACCACATACTTGTGCATTCACATACACAAGAATTCTGGGGGAATACAGATGTATTCAAACATAGAGGATGCCTTGAAATGGAAGGTCTTTGATGCAGCAAGTTAAAAGCATTTTGTTCCCTTGAAAATTATATTTACTGACCCAGGCTCTGCAGTGGTATTTTACTCTCTCCTGTGTTGCTAACCCCTAGGCTACATTATGCACAAAAAAAGCCCAAGAGAAAAATGTTCTTTTTCTCCCACCTATTTCCTCACTTTCATCAGCCATCCATCCACCTCCGGTGTCCAGGCCCAGTGAAGTAAATTAAAAAGTCTCCTGTTGAGTGGCATAAAAAACAGGGCGTTTCGGATGAACAAAGATTGTAAAACCTTCAAGGCCCAAAGCTGTCCCCTGCCCTTCACGGGAGCGTAGCCCATGCCAGCAGCAGGCTTGATTCCAGATCCAAAGCAGGCATCTGAAAATCCACGTTAAACCAACCAACGTCTCCCTTCCCAAGAAGCACATACAAAACCACTCCTATCATCTCCTCGCCCCAACATCAAACACAGGCAGGAGCAGCCCAACTTACCACTGAGCAAAGGAAGAAAAGAATGGATTCTCTTGGTTTTGTAATTTCAAAACTATAAATAACCAGGTGAAGCGTGAGCTAGCAACACAGCGAGGCTGGACGGATTCCTGACGATGCAATGACTTGGACAGAGGCAAGACCCTCCGAGCAGCGTTTTCATGTTGAAGACACACAATACTCCAAGCCCATAGATCTGTTGGGAACTTGCACTCCATGGCTGACAACAGCACAAAACCCTGCTTGCCTCCTTGTACATAGGGTTATTTCCCTCTCCTGGGATTTAACCACTTAAATTGAGAAGGAAAGACCTATACAAGGGAGATGCTTGTTCTGGTGAAATTTTGGCTATCAGCAGTGAACATGTCCTTGAGCTCTGTTACACAGCACGAGCAAATAAAAGGTTACTGTTCAACAGGAGACAAATGGCTTTGTTCGGAGGAGGATGAGTTGTGGTTTAGTAATTACTTTAAAAACAAAACATACAGGCACAAACCAAAGGGACGCATTTCTGTGCACTGGGGTATCTATGCTTCTTTTTTTTTGTAGAGCACCCAGCACAGCTGGAATCAGCTGATCCACAATCCCTGAGTAAGGTTCGTGAGCAGCCCCACTGCCAGCTCCCAAAGGGCACATCACCATGTGGACACGCGGCTCTGCCATGCTGGTTCAGACAGATGTGTATGTCCCAGCTTCAAATGCAACACTACCATACTACTCAGCAAATAAACCCATCCCATCCCAATTACGCAGCACAGCTGAGGCTCTTCTCTGGCTGGTGTGAGGACAGCCCCAACAGCTCCCCACCACGGTCACAACCCTGTCACCAACCAAGCCACCACCTAAAGGGGCTGTCCTAAAGGCAGACAGAAAGGAAGTATTT